TTTTTTTAATTATGAGAAATATAACTGCTTAATTAAATCTGACTCAAAGTAAGAACTAATAATTCTATTAATGGGTTTCCACAATAAATCTTGGCCATGTCAAATTCTGCCTACCATTGAGAATGTGCTGCCATATGGACGTACCATGAATTATGAGCACATGATTGAAGCCAGCAATGGAAAATAAACAGACAGGGACTCCTCTCATCAATGTACTGTACTGACCTTGGGTCAATCCCAGCAACCTCCCTATCTGCTATAGGAACATGACCGCATTGCCCAACAGCAGCACATTACAGAAGCACGTTTCAGAAGTCTTATTAGTTTGTTTCAGATATTTCACAATGTTAATGTTTACCTGTTACAAGGATCTGCCTGGTAAGTGAGAGTTGTTGCTCAAACCCCCGCAAGGACTGTTCATACAGAGCTGTTTAGAACTTGCTAGCTCTCACACAAGAGTAGCACTTCTTCCTTCCGGACCTCTTGCTCTTCCTATAGTTCTGATTGGATGTTAAGCAAAGAAGTAATTTTTTTAAATAACATTTTGCTGTTCTAAAGTAGCCTCACCTTTCCGCTTTGGAATTAGTAACCAAAACTGTATAAAAACTGGCCTTAATACCAAAAGATTCACAAAAGATATTTGTGAAAAATTAAACAAGCAAGTAGATCACACCTTTTCTGCAGTTGCTGATCTGCGTTGTCACATTGGGAGCAAGATCTGGGTTTAAATGCACTTGCAGACACTGTTCAAATTGTCCTAAGACTGTATTACCCTTGTTTCATCAAGGTGATCACTTGATGCAGTTGCATTTCAGTCAGCTGCCATCCACTCAGCTCACTCAACAGTTTGAAGAGGTGAATATGGCTGAACGCAATCTTAAAATCATTTGAACTGTGTTTGCAAATATAGCTGATCCCTTGTCAGAAGCCATGAAACAGATCCTGAAACAAGCCTGTGAACTCTGTTGAAACGACCCAGTGTTCTCTTTGGGTTTCTGAAAAGTGAAAAACAAATCTCCTTTCGCTGTGGCAGAACGTGTACCTTGTGTTTGCAGACTAGGAAAGTGCTGTGAAGGCAGGTGTGTCTGTGTTTCAGGAGGGTGATCGCCTGAGTGACGAGGACCTCTACAAGTTCCTTGCTGACATGCGAAGACCCTCCTCATTGCTGCGCAGACTGCGGCCCGTCACAGGTGAGCGATGGGAACAACTCCTACATACTGAACAAATGCTAAGCGCCTTTGCTGGCGTAGTTTCTTTTTCCTCTGTCAGTGTGAGTCAGAGCTCTTATTCAGATGGGTTTTCAATGAGAATGTGAGATACAGTAGGAGACCATAGAAGGCTAGCCAGCCCTGCTTGCTCACAGAGTGTCTAGCAGGTTGATGCTAAGCAGTGATTGTACTGTCCTGACCACCCTCCTCAGCCCAGCTGAAGATTGACATCTCCCCCGCTCCGGACAGTCCACACTACTGCCTGTCACCCGAGCTGCTGCACGTCAAGCCCTACCCAGACCTGCGTGTCCGGCCCACCAAGGAGGTGCTGGAGTTCCCTGCCCGCTACATCTACATCCCGTACACCACATACAGGTGTGTGCCCCTCACTCAGTCTGTCTTCGACCGCCTTTGCCTTTCAGGAAGTCCTGCAGAAGGACTTAGCCAGAACACTGACTGCAATCTCCATTCCCTCGACTGTGGCAGGAGATTTCTTCTCCAATTGTTGGCAGGCTTGAGACTGGAGTCAGAGGCCTTATCTGGAAGAACAAAAACCTGACATGGGACGTATGTCAGTGCTTTACGAGTTAATGGCTGGATTACCTGATGTTGCCATGATGTTAGAACCCCAGCTTTTATTGTAGTCTCTTTTGTTAAGAGCAGATCAGTTTCTGATAATTGCCACAGTTTACTAATATTTTAATGCCAAAAATACAAGTTTACTAATATTTTGTTCTTAATTTCAGTGATATAATACAAATTTCACAGATACATTTACTGCAAGTTCATATAATACATACAATAATGTAAAGGATAAATCTGTAATATAAAGAGATGCTGAATAGTCCAGGACTCTTTTAAGGTGATTTCAAACTGGGATTTTAAATTTGTGTTTTTTCCAGTAGTATGTGAATTGAGGTGTGCTACCCCTCAGATTGGTATTCTTGTGAAGCATAGTATACATAAAAGATTTTTAAATCTTAATTGAAATTGACGTTTGTTTTTAAATAACACAGGCAAGCAAATTGCACAGTTATTCTACACGTTGAACACTGCTGACCCAGTTAGTGAAAAGTCAGTGTGGAATAGGTTTCATAATTGTAAACTTTATTTTACACAACATCTTTAATCATCTTGAAGCACATTACAATGTATAAAAAGAACACATCACAATAAAAATAAAATTCGACAAATGCCGCATGTAAAAACAGAAGATAATCACTACAAAACCGTCCTGAAAAGGTTTTCGGCTACATATATATAAATGGTTGACAAGTCTCTTAATTCAGGGTGGTGTTCCAGAGTTTTGAAGTATAATTTCAGAACATAAGCACAGCAGCAAATGAGACCAATTGACTCATCTAATCTGTTTGATAGTTATTTAGTAATTGATTTCAGGATCTCATCCATCTGTTTCCTGAAAGAAGCCTGGCTTGGCTTCTACAGCATGGCTGTGTAGCTTGTTCAGACTCCCACAACCCAATTGCCCGCAAATCTAAATTGTCTGCACTCATCCAATTTGTCGGAATACAGGAATGGGACCACTGCAGAAAAGACATGTAGTGTGGATAGGGAACCTGGAGTGCTATCTTTTTCATAGAGTTAATTTACAGGCTTGCCCAGAAAATTCTAAATTTCTCCCATGCCTTGAAAACAAAATAAAACAAAAAAATCCTCTGCTTCATTCCACTACAGATGTCACGGCTCCTGCATTAAAAAGTTACTGAAGATTAGCCTGTCTAATTCCGTGAGATTCCATAAGAAAGTTTGTGAACAAAGCTGGATCCTTCGGTTGGCCACGCACCAAGCTTTAATATGGGTCATGCTGAGTGCCTTTCATGAGTGTTCAATTCCATTGCTCCCAGCTCATTGTTCAGCGTTGACAGATCTCCAGCCTGTAAGGAGCGCATGTAGCTTAGAATGGTCCTGGGGTCCTTGCTGGGTGGCCATCAAGAAATTGTAAGTTGCAGATGTACCATGACTCACTCAAGAGTCAATCTGAAAGAAAAGGCCTCTCTTAACACACTTTACTTAAGCCTACTCGAGTATAATGCCCTGTTCTGTACAGTAAATCAGTACCCTACTCTCATCATTGTAAATGAGAATTTACACACAGTTGAGTTTTGTGACTAAATCTAGGATTAAATCACAAATAAATACTTTACTTTTACAGCTCAGAAATAACCAAGATCAAATATTAAAATAATTAAAGAGAATCGTCTGAATTGTTTCTCTCAGTTGCACTGCTATACTGTACCAGGCGCTGCAGTTGCATCAGCTGTCTGCTCTGCTCTTCCACCTGTTGCCTCTGTCTCTGCACCAGGACTGCGAGGGTCCTCAGAACTTTGTAATGTCTCTCGCTCAGCTCCTGCACCCCAGAACACAGACAGATGCCAATTAGAGAGCAGGACTGCAGGAGAGGCCTCGGTAAAGTCAGTATGGAGAACAGTTATGTCCGCATGTCTCGTGATTGAGGGAATGTCTTTCTGATCTGAAGCTGCTAATCTTCCTTCAGTTAAAATAACTAGGAAAAAAACATATATGATAGCTTAATTGGAATTTTCAGAATAATTCATATATAAAGTACTGCTAACGTCCTTAATTGTGCTTCTTTTTATCATAGCATGTATCCCAGAACTCGTAAAACAAACAGTTTTACTACAATACTGAAGCAATACTTTAGTGGCTCGATACCCAGCATACCACCAATCAGACACAAACACCCCAGTGCCCGGTCACGTGGTCTTTTGAAAGACAGCTGTGTATACACCGTGGGTGCCCTGCTTCTTGGTTTTAAGTTCACAGAGCCCTGTATTATTTGCAACTTTTGTTGGAATCTGCTGAGAGAGGCCCTAAAGAACAGGTGGCTGCGCTTACCTTGAGGACAGAGATCTGCACCTGCACTGAGCTCTTCTCCATGGTGCTCACGCTCTTCTCCGCACTGCTCACCTGCTTCTGCAGGGACTCCTGGTGCTCCAGCACCTTCTCAAACAGCTTTTTAATACCCCTGGCTTGGCGCTGCAGCTCGGCGTCCTCCACCTGCATGCCACATGGTGACACTGCAAATCAGTGCTGATGGCCTTCCGCCAATCTTCGGGCACCGTTCAGATGCAAGAACTGACCAGAATGTCTTCAGCTAATACACAGTATTCAGATTTAGTCAAAATAAGCGCTAATTTCAAATCTTGGATGCTGGTAGGATAGTGAGGTCATATCTCACCTGCAGCTGCCTGACAGCTGTCTTCACTTGTTCTTCCGCTGTCTTGGCGTCTACCATTTCCCTTCCCAGCAGGCCTAGCTTCTCCTCCTTTGAATCCAGGCGGTGGGATATACGGGCAAATTTGTCATTGGTGCTGTGGTACATCTCGTGTAGTGCCTGGCTGAACTGCAGCACCCCGTACATCAAGACGTTGACGTCGTCCACTGAAGCCACCCTCTGGTGTTTGCCAGGTGGCTGCCCGTCATCCAGCAGGTCTTGGGTGGGCACGGGCAGTCCTGGACCCCATGTTGCCAGCAGAACCCCGCAAAGCAAGACCAGGGAGCCCTTCATTTCGAGAAGCAGCCAACCAATCCTAATGACACCCAGCACAGAAAACCCAACCTTAGGGCCAACTAATTGAAATGCATGAAATCACCTATCAAATCTAGAACTCAAAGCTCTGAGTTTTATTCTTCCAATCCAGAGCAACCCTGAAATGTTATCTTTGTGCAACCTTATATCTCACTGTAAATGATAATGTATACATTTTAACTTATATAATATAAGAAATCCCTTTGTCCAAGTAAAGCAATGAAATAGAGGCATGTAACTTGTATGCTAGACTAAACCTTCATCCATGACTGCTGTCAACAATGGTAAGTATTCTAAAGGCTGCAAAGTGATATCTTTTGTGTTTTGGCCCTGTACTGTGTTATCACTTGCTTCAAACCTACCTACTCCCTCACTTCTGGTACTCCTGTGGCTGTGCTGATGGGTGTGCACAAAGGTGCTGTCAGCTGGCGTGCTCAGAGCAGGGATCGCAGGTTTTCTCTTATAGTTCAGCCAGCTGGGTGTGCTCATCACAAAAAGGTTTTTGAGAGGCTGTTTTAGATGCCCACCCCCCGGTGCAACTATTTTTTTTCAAACATCACCTCATTAAGTAGCAATCATTAACCTTCCAGTGCCTGTCCTGTGTTTGCCATGACCGAATATAACTTGCAGAGCCTTCCTGCACTGGCCTTGACATCCAGGGAGCAGAGCAGACAGGGGCTGGTAAACGGCACTGCTGCAATCTCTTTTGCGAAACAGCCCTTCTGTGTCCAAGATGGTGCTTCAGTTTTCACCTGTGTGACCAGAGGTTGGCAGTACACTGGATCAAGGAGCTTCTCTGGGTTCTTCCAGCCACTAAAGCAATCATAGAATTATTTCTATCCATCATGGGAGTTTTTTTGTGCCAAAAAGTGGTAACTTTGCCATATGTGATGAGATGTAGAAATTCAATATTGATAGAGCCCTTTAATTCAAAGGCTCTGGCACAAAGTTTTGTTGTTGTATTCAAGAATTTCTCAGTTTCTGATAAAGAGGTTTGCAGAAGAAATTTACTTCAATCAGTAAAGAAGCAAAGCAGCAAAGCTTGTTGAAAGATTTACTTGTGTTCTCTTTTCATGAACATTTTAAATTCGTGATTTTTTTTTTAAACTTTTGATCGTATGTAAATGAAAGCCCACATTTAGTTCCTGGCTTCACAAAACTGGTGAACTGTTTAGCAGAGCCCATATCTAGAGTTGTTTTCAGACTCTGTGTTTTTCCAATGAGGAATATACTGCTTTGGAAATTGTTAGCAATTTTGCTGCTTCACACAAGTTTCTCTGGAAGCCCACGCAGGGCTCTTGCTCCAGACGGCTGACTGGTTTATGCTGACATCAGAGCACAGACTAGCCTGTAGTGGGCGAACTGATTGGGCTGGCTTTTTGAGCCCAGCATGCCGCTGTAGTATTGAAGTGGTGTCTGGGAAGCACCCAGATCTTTGTTTTCCTTTACTTCCAGCACAGTGACCTCAGCATGGCCGGATTCGATTTTTGTGATAAGCACTCTTGTTTTCACTCGCTCAAGACCTCACCCACTCTGTGAAGTTTAGAAGCTATTTTCCCCTCATAGTTTTTTGAATCCCTTAGTTCATTTGATTTAACATCTTTATTTTTCACATTCAAGAAACAGATAAGCAATTTAGATTCAGAAAAAATGCTGCTCTTGAGCAATTATTTAAGTTCAGGGTTTTATGGAATGTTATTTACTGTAAATTATTTTTTGTCTTTTAATTTTCCTTCTAGAATTGCATTCATTTCCTCCTGGTAATCTGCAGCTCTGTTTTACCATTTATATGTGAAGTCTTCCTGTGTCCCGATATGAACAGTGAGGCTTTTTTTCTTTTATCCTGCGGCATTAAAATGACAGTTTCTTCTTGACCCCAATTTTCTCTGGATTGAACTTCTCTTTGGTTTGAGATCATATGAAACACTGGAACATTAACTTACAATGTTTTCAAATAAAGGAGCCTGAATTGTACCTCGGCTACACAATCAGGCTAATTTATTTTGATATCCTGATGAGTACCCGGTGTTGAAGACTTGGGGGGATGGCTGTGCCTGGGCTACTGTTGTGTGGGGTGCCTGTGGGATCCTGGTGTTGCCCTGTCTAGGGTGTGTTTGTGCGCTGGGGTTACAGCTGGCATTACACACCTCACACTGTTTGCTTATTTGAGAACAGTCTCATAGGTCGGCCTCTCCGATGAGTGCATGCTAGCCTCGTTCTTGAACTGTGGCTGTGTTGCTCCCACTGTCTAGAGCCCCTAATCATCTTCAGTGTGCTCACTGCTGCCTTCTGGTTCCAGTAGATTTGTACAGGCAAATGGGAACAGAGGCCCAGTCTGACATCCATTACTTCAACCATGAGCTCTAAATGGCTTTTCTCGTGTATGGGTGCTTTTATCTTTCAGGCAGTTAGGAAAAAATCTCCCATTACTGCATTCTGATTTAGTGCATATTTGTTAAGAGTTTTTGTTTTTCTACTCTACGGTTCTGAGTATGCTAATGAATGGCACTACAAAAAGGACAATATTACAACCATGTAATGTCACAAACAGATACAAAAATGATCGGTAACGTGTTTTTTAGCAATAACAATTTAATGTTTAGAAAGGTTGGGTTTGCGTAAATTGGCAAACACTGTTCAAAATAGTTTCAGCAATTTCAGTCAGTTCACCAAGATGAGACCTGCTAGTCCCACCTTTGAAGGTAACTGCTTCAGAGTGCTAGTAATAGTACAGTAATGGATGGTACAGAAATTGGTAAAACGGTGTTGGGAAACTCTTGCCTTGAGAGATTGTTATGGATTGAATACAGTTATCGGACCATTGTGACCTGTTACGGGTTCCTAGCCATGTTGCAACAGTCGTGTGTGTAGCACTCTGGAAATAAGAAGGCATTGCTGGAGTGTTAATAACTGCACAGAACTTTGAGTCATGTTTAATTGTCCATGATCACTGTATATTTTCCTCATAGCTGCTGTAAAAACATGTTTCTTCAATGTTTTCGCCCCTGGTACAGCTGAACAGCTTGAAATTACAACTAACCCCTATGATTTTTTAAGAGCTTGCAGTGTGGGGAAAAAAAGTAAACATTTTCAGTTCCTGACTAAGCAATTCTAAATGACAGTAGTTTAAGTTTAAAATTGCTTTGGTTCATCTGATATATACGGTACCAGATAACAGTGAGTGAAAATGTTTTATATCAGAACTCAGTCATACACAGATGGGCTTATATCTCTGATACAAGGAATCCCCACCATCACCCAGTCAAATCTTTCAGTTACAGGCAATGTGTGTGGTTGGCTTCAGGAGAATGAAATGGATATCCATGAGCTTCCCTGACCAGAACAATCCCCTAAATATCAAACCTGTACAAAACCTGTGGAATGGGGTGGAATTGTGCAGTTTAATGCAACAGGCCATTGTCCTTCATCACAGTCTCAGCTGACAGAGAAAATATTTCAGTGGGACACATTCTGCAGCTGGCAGAGGTCCATGGTGTTACACGGTGGGCAGTTTGGCCAGTGAGTTTACAACATGCCAATGGAGCGCGTTCCCGGGCTGGTGTTGAACGGGCTTTCTTCTTTACTGAACAGAAATTACAGAGCGGTTTCTTTTATTGGAAGTCTAACAGAAACAAATGGCATCAGATTCTGGGTTTGCCACTGGCTGCTAGCAGGAGGTTCAAGGTTACTTTGGGCTCTCATGTGTTTTGGAGATCAGAGTTGACAGGAGATCTTTGCCAGCCTGGCTCATTGTTTCAGCAGTCAGGGAGCACACAGCACCTGCTGAGAGGGAGCCCTGCGTCCTTCAGTAACCTTGGCTGTTTGTTTTGGGCAAGCGCGCAGGTTAAAAAAAGACACCATCTGTTTGGAGACCTGCACAGCAAATGTGGATGCCTGAATTTTAAAAAGAGTTGAGAGTTCTTTTTAAAATCACATCTAGTATTGGCTATATCTTAACAGCATGCAATGGAAAACAGACAGTAAAAAATAATCCAGTTCTAGACAATTAAGAATTAAGTTTTTTGTAAGAATATGCAAATTGTATATTTTGACATATAGCTTGGCTATAAGTCACAGCTCAGTATACTTTCAGAGAGGACTGTAGGCAATTTCCTGACCATCTAGACTGAAAAATCCTGAAATGTTTTCAATGATTGGATTGATTCTCTTTCTCCTGCTCCTTTTCTCTCTCTCCCTGTCCTCTCTCACTCACTATCTCCATTAGGAACCTCTTGTACGTGTACCCCCAGACCCTGAACTTCAGCAGTCGGCAGGGCTCAGTGCGAAACATTGCTGTCAAGGTGCAATTCATGGCGGGCGAGGACCCCAGCCAGGCCCTGCCTGTGAGTAGACACCCCCTGTGCCATCAATATAGTCTCCATTTCTCCTGCCCTGCAAGTGCAACACAGCACAGATCAGGAGGGAGTTCATTTTCTAATCTTGTAGGAACTATCAGCTGTGCTGTGATCTGCCTCCTGCTGCACAGCTATTCTGAAGTAGTACCCCTGCTGATACTCATCTGTTTCCATCTTTATATATCAAATACCTTTGATCTAATTTTTAACCAGTATGTGGGGACTTGTATTGTAATCATTTACCTCATGTGCTTTGCCATGTATTACTTTGAATTTGTGTGTGTCAGACTTTGCTGGACAGTCAGATCATCCCTACAGTGCAGACTATTTAGTAGACTATCTGCCTGTTTGAATAGTTTTCTCTAGATATCTCAGCATGGTTTTTGGCTGTAACTGCAGGTTATATTTGGGAAGTCTAGCTGCGGGGAGTTCTACAAAGAAGCCTACACTCCAGTCATCTACCATGACAAGTAAGCCCCTGAAGCATTTGTACTGAACATATACACTAGTCATCACATCTGTTTATTATCTTTGAATGCATTGTTTTTTATACATACACAGTATTTGAGATTGTTACAGTTCTGCCATAAGGTATTACTATTTTGGAAGGGGAAATATAACCTAATGTGGAGTACCCTTGCTCTCTGAAGCATCAGCATATGAAATTCTGAGAGTCTGTGAAAGACCCTCATATGGAATTGTTCCCTACGTTTCCTTAATCCTGTGTTCTTCCTCTCCTCTCCTTCCAGAACTCCAGAGTTTTACGAGGAAATAAAGCTGAAGATCCCGGCGAACCTGACAGATAACCATCACTTCCTCTTCACCTTCTACCACATCAGCTGCCAGCAGAAGCAGAACACACCCCTGGAGACGCCTGTGGGGTACACGGTGAGGTCTCGGGCCTGCCCCCCTAGTTGCCTTTCATAGTGCCTAAGACATTCAGTCTTTCACTTTCTTGGAAGGGATAATAAATACAATTTTATTTGTGGCGCATAGTAGGAAGTGAAGGGAAGATTGTGAGTACCAGATTGTTCACCTACAGAAATCAACTTTCGACTATATTTCGCCTCAGTGTGCATAAAAGATTAAAAGTGAGAGGAGACCATTCGGCTCATCTAACCCATTTGCAAGTTGGTAGTTAATTTATCCCAGGATCTCATCCAGCTGTCTCTTGAAAGAAGCCAGTGTATCAATTCCAAGCTTCAAACACATGTAATGTCACGAATTGCCCATGTGTTTCTAATAGCAAATAGTTAATTTGTAAACAAGTTGTACTTAGTTGTTTTCTAGCTGTCATTCTTGATTGTGTTCATCGTGTTTATGTTAGCATACTGCCATTTTAAGTTTGTTTCTGTTTGCTCCACTGAAAATAATGAGGTTGCTGACTCTGCTGAATCTCTCTCTCTCTGTAGTGGATTCCACTAATGCAGCATGGCCGTCTTCGAACAGGCTCCTTCAGCCTGCCTGTGTCTGTGGAGAAGCCCCCCCCTAGCTACTCCGTGCTCACCCCTGATGTGAGTATCGTCCCTCAAAAAAAGAAGGCTCTCCAAGAACCCAACAAAATCTCAGACCGACACGAAACAAGTCTTCAGTTTCACTGTTCTTTTTGGGTTTTGTAGGATTGCCATGGGATGGTATGGACAGTATGTGCTTTCATTATTTCCTAATGTTACTTTTCACATTAGTTTTTAATTCTGAAATTCAAATGCTGAACCTCAGGCCTTAATTTTTTTTAAAATCTGAGTAATGGTGCAAGTCTGACACTTCAGAACTAAAGAACTGACACTTTTCTTCAGAACTAATGAGATTTTTAATGGCAACAACACCTCCAAACAAGAGCATCTGTAGTTAGAAAAAGACTTAAATTATCCACACTGTTCAGTTTTTAGATAAGTTCTTTGAGAAACCCAAGATGGCTCAAAAGCTGGAAGGTGTTGCCTTTATGGAGGTTTGACGGGGTTAATTTGCATGGCATGACAGTTTAAATCAATTAAAGCAATCATTCACTTTGCTTTGCCATGATTGCCCGCAGTGTGCATTGTAGTTTCATTATTTGGAGTGCATAATGAGACTGTTCCAGAGGTGGGACTTACAGGACTCGCAGGTGTTCAAACCTATTGCAGTGAGGTGCAGAAGTGCAGTATCCCAGCCTCCTGGGCAGAGCAGGAAAGCTCAGGACAAGGTCCGGAGCCTGAATGCACATGCTGTTGTGTCACTGCATGGAGGCAGGGTTTGAATATATTGGGGAGTCTTAGGGAGGGGTCTTCCCAAAACAACCTGATTTCTTCACAACACCCTCTCTCCTTATCGTATGTTTCCAGGCAGGTTTAGCCGAGAGACAACCAACCCACAGACTGCTCTGGTTCTGGCTCTGCAGTTATGTGGCCAGATGTAGAGAAACTGCTTTTGCCATCATGTTGCATCTGTCAGCACATGAGACAGAATAATGAATGCATCATGCAGCGTTGTAGAAGACTGAGATATAAAACTGCAGCTTTGGTCTACTGAAGTAATGGAGGCTCTTGGTACAATTTGGGCATATTACAGCATTCAGGAAGAGCTTGAATCCTTGAATACAAAGCAAGCATACAGTTTTCCCCATAAGCTGTTTATGACCTAGTATATCTCCTCATAAAATGTAAACTGGTGCTTTCTAATACATTTCTCTGCACCTGCTGTGTGTGATTTCATGACCCAGCTCAGGCCTGCTCAGCTAGGTCAGTGTTTGGTGTGGGGTGGGGTGCAGCTGTGGAAAGGAGGTTTTTAGGATCTGTTACATATACTTTGCTTTTCCTGTTGTATGGCCCAGAAAGGATGTTGCAATGCATGATGGGTACATTGGTAATGCAATCAGTCTTGTTTCACAGGTGCAGCTGCCTGGTATGAAGTGGGTGGACAATCATAAAGGGGTGTTCACCGTCGAAGTCACTGCAGCTTCATCAGTGCACACACAGGTAAGTCTGTGTTCTAAGCATGCCAAACGGGTAAATGCTTTCATTATAGCTAAATATACTGCTGATGTGCTCAGCTCCCATGTTTGAATCCCACAACCATGTTCAAACCACCTGAGCCACCTGATCCCTTTCCTCAACTAATTCTCAAGGAGTAAGCTAAAGAAAGTCCATAATGGGGCCTAGCAGATCATTAAGACAGAGTTAATCTGATTCTGTACTGTTAAGTTAATTGTGGGTGCATGAAAACAGCCTCCCACAATAAATGGGATCCATCAACAGGTTACTTCTTCCTCATTATTTACAGTTGGGTATACTGGAGCAAATCTAGGTACAACAGTAGAGTCCATTGTGGGTTCCTGAAGTTGACCCCATAATCCATAATTAGGAAAGCAAACTAGGCATGTTTTCAAGCACACTTGGGGGGCAATAGAGTCTCATTCCTCAGCTGTAAGAGGCTGAAGCTGACTAAGTTCTCATGCGGGCTGCCTCAGGATCCCCACCTGGACAAGTTCTTCACACTGGTGCACGTGCTGGAGGAGTACTCCTTCCCCTTCCGCCTGAAGGATGTCATCATCACTGAAGGCAACGTGGAGGCGGAGCTGAAGAGCAGCATCGGCCAGCTGCGCTCCGCCGTGCTGGAGACCTGCATCCGCTTCCTGCACCACCTGCTGAACAAGCTCATCCTTCTGATCGTCAGGCCCCCTGTCATTGCCGGCCAGATTGGTGAGGCTCCAGCTGCTCACGCACAGGAACGGCTCGAGAGTTTAAAGGCTGCAGGCTGTGGATGTTGCTTGAAGGCCCTAAATGGGCTTAGAGAACCCTTCCAGGAAACCTTCAAAATCGGTGTATTTTGCTGATGTAAAAGTTAGAGTTCCTGTGTGCTTTTGCTTCTCTTGTTGTTTTTTCTCTTTCTCTCCCCATGTTTCTTAAAATTCAGTTTATATGTGCTCAGTTGTCATCACTGTAAGATTAAGATTACCAAAGCAAAGACAGATGCTGTAAAAGGATATCTTATATATAATATGCTTTTGTGCTTTTCCGTATTTATCTTTTTGGGCAGCACCATAATACAATATCGGCCCTATAGTCCATAGCTGTTTTAACAGTTTCTAAAGTGAGCACTTTTTTTCAGTTTAAAACTAAGAACTTATCTGTGATTAAGGATTTGAAAACTATTCTCAGAAACTGATTAATACCCATTTCCCCTCCTGCTTTTTTCCAAAAACTAAAAATACTTATCTCTCCTACTGTAAATATGTTTTTTCAAAACAACTTAAATTTTACAATTACTCCACAAAATGAGCAGTTAATCAACAATAATCATTTTAAGGAGTCTGGTAAGGCGACTAAAACAATTAGACGCTGTACTTAAAGTCGACTTTAAAAGATGCGTAAAGATTATATTATTGTTTTTTTATATGTTGTACAGTACCACAAAAGTATAAACACTGAAAAGTTTCTCTCGATACGCAAAACAGGTGCTTAATATAACCAATTTCGAGCTTGCATTTCCCAGGTCCACAGAATTACAGATGTTTATCCTCCTTTGGCAAGACTTTGTTCTGTGGTTTTGACTCCTTTTGCTCACACACTCTTCCCTCCCTCCCTCTGTCTGTTCAGTCAATCTGGGCCGGGCTGCATTTGAAGCCATGGCTCTGCTTGTGAATCAGATCCACAAGAACCTGGAGGGCAACCAGGACCAGCACGGCCGCAACAACCTGCTGTCCTCCTACATCCACTACTGCTTCCACCTGCCCACACTGGAGACCGGGCCCCCCAGCTCCTGTGAGTGTTCGAGGACGTGGGAGAGACAAGCCCCAGCATATAAGGGAACATGAAACTGTCCATCGCAGAAGCTGTTTCCTCTGCACTTAAGAGTGTTAAGGACATATAGACTATTTGGTACCAGGTGGCTTCCTTTTCCAAGAGAGACAAAACGTTTAGGGGGCTGCCCATTTGATATGTAAAAGTATAGGTTTTAATGAAAGGGCCCTCACAAGTATTCTACCTTCTGCTCTACAGTTTGTGATGTGATGAAGGGAGACCCTAAACATGACTGCCATCACTCTGGGACCCCTGGTACTGATGTAGCCTTTTGTGTTTTTCTCTGCCACCTGTAAAGATACGGGAAGCGCCCCTTATGGGATGCCCATCCAGTACGCCACCCTGTCCCGTGCCACAGGCCGTCCCAGCAGCCTCAACCTCTCCCGCTCCAAGAGCATCAGCAACAGCAACCCTGACCTGGCCAGCACTCCCACCTCCCCCGACGACGAGGTGCAGAAGATCATCGGAAACAAGGTAGACCCCTTCCCCTCTGTCCACAATAAGCATACTGTGAGAAAGATTTTCTGTCTCATTTTATTTTAGTAGGATCCTCTATTATTGTTATTACATTTTTTTTTAAATTTAACATTAAAGTCACAATATGTTCATCTGTCAGCAGTAGCTCCTCTAGAGAAGGATGACCTGCTGATAATACAGTTGTCACCCTCTGTTATACTGAGAACCTGTCCTTTCCTTGCAGCAGCCCTGGTGTATTTTGCCTGTTTGAAGTATTGAAGTGTGAATCAGATTTAATCTTTTTGGGAGAGTCCTGTAGCATACTGCAGCCAGCCGCTAACTAATGGTGATGGATGGGTAATATGCAGATAAAATGATTTAATTGCTTAACAATGCAATCCTTATTCCAGCGCTAATGCCGGACCAAGTTATTCTCATTCCTGTCTTTTTGTTCCCAAGTTTCTTCCTTCCCTCTCCTCCTCCCCCTGTTCTCTCTCCCTCTGAGTTTTAATCCCTGGTTGGGGCTGCTCTCCCGTTTTTCTCTCTCTCCTCTCGGGCCGGTGCAGGGGATTGATCGCTCCCACTCCTGGGTTAACTCTGCTTACGCCCCTGGGGGTCCCAAAGCCGTCCTGCGCAGGAATCACCCCAACTCCAGCAGTGACCTCAAGCAGGTGCTTTTACCCCTCTTTGCTTGGGGATGGTGTGTCTGAGTGTGAGAGCACTGAGTGTCACAGTGCCGGGGGAGACTGAAATGGGTTTTAAGGGGAGAATGTGTGTATAGGCATGCTAGAAACTGCAGCCATTATGCCAGTACTGTAGTTCATTAAGAGCTCAGGAGGAATGAAGATCTGCAAGCACACTGGCCACTCCACGTTTAAATGTATAATCTCCTTCCTGAATATGAGAGGTCAGATTGGTCCTCACTCCTAGTTTGCTGGGATAAGGTATAAGGAGGAGCATTTAAGCTTCTTTGGGAATGATGTGTACTTTAAAATGCCACATGGCAAAGGCATCTTCAGAAAGGTTCTAGCAGGTATAACAGTGGTTCTCAAGCTGATCTATGAGGACCCCTGTCTTTTTTTGTTACAACTGAGATTTAAAACACTTTAAGCTCCTTTAAGATGAGTGTCTTAAAATGTTTCAGGATGCATCAAGACTTAAATTAGGGAGCTGCCTAAATGAATAAGACTGAAATTAGTGTCACTAAAATGTTTATCAGCAGGACACCTGGAGTGTTTTCGAAACCAAGACAGAGGACAGAAACTGGTTTAAAAGGTCTAATCACACAAGTTGTTGACATAAGAGAATCAGTGAGCCTTGGTGGTTAAGGAATCAGTAGAAAATGAACAGTGTATGAGACAGGGGTCCTCTGGGAGCTTAGCTGTGCTAAACCTTAACCCATGAATCAGTCAGGGACAGGCTGCTATTGCTGCACCAATCACTCTCCTGCGTGCTGCTTGCTTCTGCTTCACTCTTGTATCACCTCTATAGAGCCTCTGCATCCTTGACATCACCTCCATCCTGATCCATCGCGTTGGTAGCATTTATCCTGGCTCCAGGTTAGGAGAAACTGGAAATATATTTGTGGTAGCTTTGGAGGGGGAAGCTGAGAAACAGTGACTCTAGGAGGCTTACATATTGCCAACCAGGAATGAAAGAGGAATTTTATCAGTGAAACCTCCTTGTGAGCCAGTATTGAAGTTCAAGGTCAAGTAATGGCTGTTATACCCCAGCCGTCCAAAGAGCTCCACTTCCACAGACCTTTGCAGGAGAGAATGGAGTTCAACACCTCGATCGGAGCCCCCCTCCGAGAGCTCGGATTTCTGTGAGGATCATCGCTCATCTCTTCATTTTCTCTCCATGCCTCACCACCCCACCTCCACCACTTTTATATCTCCTCCTGTCTGTTTCTCTCTCTTTCGGCCTCCTCTCACCCCTGCACACAGGCCTCAGAGCGCTGCCCTAATCGCATGTCTGCCTTCCTGGAGGGGACTTCTCATGCTGCCCCCACCCCGGCTCGGCAGACTGCCCGCAAGGTAGGGTATGGGCGCATGCCCGAAACACCTCTGTCACCCATCTGCAGGCTGTATTCACATGCCTCTCAACTCTTTCAACCTGGGGGCCAGCTTTTCAAAAGGTGCTCCACTGTGGGGCTCTCTTCACATCACTATGGTTAGAATTTACATGAATTTGCACCCAGCAGAAAAAAATATTAAACACCCCTGAATTCCAGGTAAGATCAAGGTAAATGTTTTGACACCAGTTTTTTTTTAAACACCCGTTTCATCAGCATTTCTCAAGTGCAAGATCAAAACGCATTTAAATAAACCAGCAATTAAAATAAATCAAGTTTGTTTTCTTTTACACTTTTTGAAAACTTGGCCCAAATGTCATCCTTTTCATCCTTGTGAGTCTGAAAAAAATAACTGGAGAGTGTCTTCAGCACTGGAAATGTGATGCCAGTGGGTGGCATCTTGGGCGCTCTGGGGAGCCAGTGTGCGTGATGTTCTTGAACTGTTAGTGCCGAGGAGTTGGGAGAAGGAATGGAGTGGTGTCTCCTAGCACAGTGGTCTTGTCCCACGCAAGGTCAGGCACTGTGGGGTGGGTATCCAGGGAAGACATCCCAGAAACTGAACTTGTCAGAAATTTTGGTGGTGTTTTTCAATGTACATTTTTGGGTGCCTAAACCATTGTGTCATAAACTCAGTCCCTCAGCTCACTCAGTCCTCAGTGACTTAGTTTAACTCATTGAATAAGTAATTTTGTTCTTAGATCTTATGAAAACTTAAATAATTCGTTTCATTTTAAATGTTTTCAGGTCAAAAGCATTTTTATTTGTGTTTGCTTCTAATTTTTCTGATTAACTTATAATCTAACTTTTCAAGAGAAGAAAGGTAATGAAAGATGAGTTCACTTGAGTGATGAAGCTTTGTCAGTGGCTGGTAAGAAATGGCAGATGGGGTCTTCTCTGCTGATGTGTGAGGTTCAGTGTCACACTAACCATGTCCATGCTGTGTCCAGCTGCTTCATGAGGAACTGGCCCTGCAGTGGGTGGTCAGCACCAGCACGGTCCGCGACGCTGCCCTGCATCAGGCTTGGTTCTTCTTCCAGCTCATGGTGAGTCACTGTCCTTATGCCTTCTACACAGCTGAGGCCACGTATTATTGTGCTGCAGAGGGTGGGCTTGAAGGCATGTTGATGAAGGATTATAGATGCTGCTGGTAGCATATACAGTACATATACATTACACACAGATACCTGAAGAAGGCTTCCATGACACCAACAGAAGGCTCCACGGCAAAAACGTTTCTTTTTTTCTCTTTTCAGCATGGAAAAAACCTTTACTTGTTCATTTACATTGCACACATACAACTAATGTTTTTTTTTCGTGTGTTCCAAATTTGTGAGGAATTTGCCCTGATGTTGCAAACAACCATTCAGTTCAACATTGCACTCATACTCAAACATATTGCATTACACTATACATACAAACACATACAGATAATATTATTAGCAGATGTTAGGCTGATGCAAAACCGTTGTCCTTAGATCTACGTGTCCTGTTTAATCTAGGTTTTCTTTCAGTACTGTAAGGAGTTAGTGTGTTCTCAGAATAATGTAACCAAGGTACCTTTATTTAAAGTAAAACTTTGTTCTGCCAACTGAGGAAATGCATTTAATGGTCTTTCATGGAGATTTTACTGTTTGTGGTTGTAACTGAAGAGCCTTGTTGTTTGACCACTTGTCTGTCCACCCATCAGGTGAAGAGCATGGCCCATCACCTGTACCTGAGCGACAGGCTGGACACCCCCCGCAAGCAGCGCTTTCCAGACCGGTTCGTGGATGATATCTCTGCGCTAGTGTGCGCCATCAGTGCCGACATCGCTAGTCGCTACCACAAGGTACAGTGTGGGAGGGCCAGGGTTCGTAGCCCGCTTGGGAGCAAGCTCTCTTTCCTCACAAACTGCAGCACTGATCAGCCTTTACTGTTGTTGTCAGATACAAGACCATTTAATTGATATTTAGGCGTATGATTGCATTTACAGGGAAGTGCCTGTTTTATTTGAAATCCCTTATCACTAGTCCCTCACAATCCCTAGGCGATATTTGGGATGTTGAAGGTACGATTGTTGTCCCTAATATAGGGTCAGTTGTATGGTTGATATACCGTTTTCAGGCTATACATTTGAGGTAATCTCTTTTAAATGTATTGAGTGACCTGCATTATCTAATGTTGTCAATGCAATAGGCATGAGACTCCCAGCCTCTGCTCTTCAAGGGCTCCAATGTCCTCTCTGAACCCTAGGTATTTGGATTTGGTTTTTATAATACACATAGTTCTAGGCTTTCAAAGGTTGTGTAAGAATAGAGGAAAGGTTAGAAATGAGAGGAGGTCATTAATCCCACACTGGGATCTTGCCTTGCTGTCACTTGAAGGAATCCCAGAGAATCAGCTTCAACAACATTGTTGGGCAGCTGGATCTACACACCCAAGTTCAATCCTACTGTGGCTTCCATTGCACACATCTAATAATATCTGCTCTTGTCTAAGAGCTTCAGAAATGTAGATAAAAGTTTGTTTGGTTGAGTTGCTAAGAATTCCATGTGGAATGGAGAGGTCTCTTCTTTTGACTTTCTAATGGTGTCTCTTCACTCACTTGCCTTTCTCGTCTCTCCCAGGATGTGGAGCTAATTGAGCGCTTGAACAGCAGCCTGGCCTTCTTCCTGAACGACCTGCTCTCTCTGATGGACAGGGGTTTTGTCTTCAATCTTATCCGCTCCTACTGCAAACAGGTACCAGCGGATCCTGCACTGGTCATCCTTGTTCACAACCCCTGCTGAGCTTTGCTTTGATGTGAAGTTTTTTTCATAGTATAAAGGCCTAAAGAGAAACTGTCTCTGTTGTATTTCATTTTTTATGTACACTGTTGATAACCATTTTTTACAGATTGGCAACAAGCTGCACACAACTCAGAACCCCAATGCACTAGTGGCTTTGCGTATGGACTTCGTCCGCATCGTCTGCAGCCACGAGCACTATGTCACCCTCAACCTGCCCTGCAGCACACTGAGCCCCCCAGCTTCCCCCTCCCCCTCCATCTCCTCCGCCACCTCGCAGGTCAGTGCAAGGCCCAGCTCTGCCTCCAGACCCCCTCTGATCAGATTCAGCCCTCGCTCTTCTTAAATCCTTCACTCTCCATCTCTCTTCCCTCTCGCTGTCCTGATGTCTGCTTTCCACTCGTTTGTGGCCTTTCTCTCTGGAACTCTCTCTCTCATTCCTGCCCCCTTGTTCTCTCCTGTCTGTCTGTCTCAAACTTTCTCTTTCTATTTCTCTTCTCTATCTCTGCCCTCTCAGACACCCTTCCCTTCCTGTTTATTAATCTTTTCCACACGTCTATCCCTTACTACCTCTTCCGCCTCTTCATCCCCCTCTCACTCTGTGGGCTCTTCCCATCTCCCTCTCTTCTGCAGAGCTCTGCCTTCTCCAGCCACCTGCAGGACCTGCGAGTCGCCAGCATGTTTGAGCTGTCCGTGCCCTTCCGCCAGCAGCACTTCCTGTCGGGTCTGCTGCTCACGGAGCTGGCCCTCATACTGGAGCCTGATGGAGAGGGGTGAGTGCCCACAGCTCCTTCATATGGCAGTCTGGTCCTGCACCTTTTCACTTCTGCGGAATTGTCTGCTGCTATGAAAATCATTTCTAGATCTCTTTTCTCAATTCTCAATTCTCACTTTGAAGTTTGCTGAATAGAGTGGGTTATAATATTTTTGCACATCAACAACTATATAAGCAGAAGTCCTGGATTTATTGTGTAAATTTAGAATCCCCAATTATTTTTTGTTATACCCACCCGATCTGGAATAGCCAATTGTGTTTTTTCACATTTGAGCTCACAGCTTCTATTCCCACAACCGCACACCAGGAAGTAAAGGCGGATTCCTACAACCCTACCACTCGTTTTTTAACATGACAGAGGCAGCACAGCCCTGTCACAGCTGATTGGAGGAGACCATGTCCATCACCAAGAGCACGGCATGTCTGGGAGCTCCTGATAGGCTGCAGAGGTGACGGAGAGCCCAGAGAGCTCAGTCTCATCCTACCCTTGTCAGTGTTCAGCCAATAGTGCGCAACTGCCTGGGGAATCCTGATCACAACCCAGACTCGAACCTGTGATCACAGAGCTCAACATGTACTCAGGCCAGTACTTTTACTGGTGGAACCACCCAGGAGGCCTGGAGAGTTTTAAGTGGGTGAATCTGGAAAGTACTTTCATTTAAGTGTTCTAAAACTTACTTTTTAGTGATCTATTTCTCACTCTGCAATTGCAACCTTTTAACATTTCAAAAAGTTTTAAAAGACGTTTGAAAGGGTGCACGTCTTCATTACAATGTCTACAAATAGAGAGCTAACGACAGGTTTTGATTTTCCTTAAGAGTTCGAATCTCTGTACCGTCTCCCCTTTCTCTGTCTGGTTCACAGGGTCTTCTTCCTACACAAGAAAGCTATCAGTGCCGTGCACAACATGCTGTGCAGCCATGACTCGGACCCGCGTTTCACTGACCCCCAGGTGCGCACACACTTGGCCCAACTCTACCTGCCCCTCATCGGCATTGTCATAGAGACGCTGCCCCAGCTCTATGACTTCACAGGTGGGTGTATATGAGCCTCTCTCTGGGAGCCCCTGGTCCTGCCTGCTCAATTCCAGCGCTAGAGCAACTCATCGAACATAAAACAACTGTGCTCATGCTAGGCCATGTTATCACCATTTCCTCTTTACATTGACAGAACCGATTCGCAGTTAAAAGGTATTTGCTAGGATTATGATTTGTACAGCGACTCCTTCTCTGAAGGAAGTATCCACATTTATGTTTATTGACCTTTATGAGTCCTGGGACAACCAGTTTGCCTTAAATGGGTTTGGGAACTTGAAGGTGATTCTAGATTGTTCTTTTTTGTCTGTATGCACACAGAAAACTCTCCCCCCCGCGTGCGCCACGCCTCAGCGCTGGCTGATGACATCGACTCCGACAACGGCAGCAGTATCAATCAGTCAGTCGCCATGGCAATTGCTGGCTCCCCTCTGCCGCACTACAAGGCCAATCCCTTCCAGCTACCCATTGTGGTAAGTGACATCACTGCACACAATCACTTCACATCAAAGGCTCTCGTGTAACGAGGGTATTGCCCTTAAAAGTGTTTGTGCTTGACCACTCCCCCACCACAGCAACATCACTAGCAGTGTGAAACCTGTGCTTTTTGAATTTGGCACAGTTTGTATTGCATGATTGTCAGTAGTCTGACTTACAAGTTGAGTACTTAATTAGACATGAGGCCTGTGAGAGAATCCAGCTCATGTTTCCTGTCTTGCCATCCAGCATGTGAAGTAAAGTTTCTGGGCAGTAGGTGGCACCGTTGCCCCTTTTCAACAGAGACTTTCACTGATTTAGCAGGCCCTTTCCCTAATCTGGACAAAAAGAGCTTTCACGTTCAAAACTCATGAGCCAGTCAGGTTGTGTCAGGTCTGATTTTGTTTATGGAGAGAATAACTGGGCAGGGCCTGTGCAAGCCTCACGATCAGGATTTGCATAGTCACTTGGTGACGCTTGAAGTCACTAGAAGTCTCAGTTCACTTTGTGCTATTGTTAAGTTGAACAAAATTCTACAAAATTGTTGTTTAAATCACATTTAAGTATTTTTTAACCTCTTGATCTAAACCATTTGACAGTCCTCCATATGGGTTCATTGTGGAATTAAATATTGCAAAACATGTCCAGACGGTGCTGCAGCTGCTTTAAATCTGTAGTGCGGGAGAAAGGAAATTGTCTACTCCTCCTCTGGGTCAGTGCCATGGTCATGTGTGGTAAAAAAGTCGTTTTGATTCATTCAGACCTGTGAAGACCTCACTTTGTCAACAGTCTTCATAGCATTCCCTGAGTTTGGTTTCAGTGTGTGGCGTTCTGTAAGAGAGCTCTAGGTAAAAGTCTTGTATCAAGATCAAGTTAATTTCAAGTAAATCACATCGCATGATCTAATGGAAACAAATGGAAAGGAGCTGCAGTCACTGTCAGCTGACTCTGCGTGTCTGATTGCAGGCTGGCAGGCAGAGCAGCATCTTGTCTGCAGAATCCAGTCGGAACCTGCTGATCTGTTTCCTGTGGGTGCTGAAGAACGCGGATAGCGAGATTCTGGAGCGCTGGTTCTCCGACCTCTCTGTTCTGCAGATCAACCGGCTTCTGGACCTGCTGCACCTCTGCCTGTCCTGTTTTGAGTACAAGGTAGAAGCCTTTGAATCACTAAGGTCAGAACTAACAGTAGAACACCACTCTTCCACTGAAAGGGATTATTTCCAGTCAGCTCTGTTAAAAGTTCTCACTGAGGTCTGGCAACAGCCGAGTGAAGGGAAAGGATCTCTTCATTGAGCAGGGCTACCCTCACGCCAGCTCTCCCTCCGTGACCCCTGTTTGTGATCATGTCCCTGTCTCATTGGTGCAGGGCAAGAAAGCCTTTGAGAGGATCAACAGCCTGACCTTCAAGAAATCACAGGACATGAAAGCACGCCTGGAGGAGGCCATCTTGGGCTCAATCGGAGCACGGCAGGAGATGGTCCGTCGCAGCCGAGGTAATAATCGTGCAGGCAGGGTTGGATGCAATCTGTGATACTGTTGTCCTTACCAGTTGTAACCAGTCCTAGTGTTAATGGACTAGTGTATGAGCTTTTTTGCTTATGTGTGTGCGTATTTGAGCAGAGAGGAGCCCGTATGGTGGCCAGGAGAACGTGCGCTGGAGGAAGAACATCACCCACTGGAGACAGAACACAGACAGAGTGGACAAGTAGGTCTTCTACCTTCAGTCTTCCTGGGTTTTGGATCATTGCCATTACGCAATCAAGCTTAAGTGCCTTTAAAGGATATTACCACGAGCAGCACAATTTTTCTGTTTAAAGTTAAACCAAAAATTGGATAAATTATTTTGGGGTCCACCAAAGGACTCAAACAGTCAAGGCTGTCGCTCAGAGCTAAGCTCTGCGATTCAGATGTCGCAAATTAGATCCTGGATCATGTCTCTAGATTATTGGGTGGAGTTAACTGGGTTAGGGTGGTTAGAGTGGTCATTAGTCGGCTTTTGGGAAAACTTCAACTTGCAGGGTCCCAACATGTCAAAAAGATGAGTGTTGGAAGAACGTGTCTGCAGGTGTGCATTAAAACAATGCAACAACAGGAGACTTCAGATATAGAGGATATGTAATAAGCAATTGGCAATTTCAATGTTTTTATTAAAAAAATAAAAGATCCAGGGCATATTATTTGAAAAAAATCACGGTATGTAATGGGTCCAGTTAACATTCTGATTTTATATGGAGCTATGGAGAAGAATTTGGCATTGCTAGCCAAGCGGTGATTTTATGGCCTAAGTATTGTCTGACCCTGCTGTGTGTCTGTCCTTCAGGACTAAAGCAGAAATGGAGCATGAGTCAATAGTGGATGGCAACCTGGCCACAGAGGCCTCACTGGTGGTCCTGGACACACTGGAGATCATTGTCAAGGTAGACAGAGAGCTGCGGGTCTCTGGGACAAGAAAATAAAATGTTTGTTGTGCCACCTTTTTAAAATACAAACAATCTCCCTAATCAGTTATTGGAAAGATGGACTGAACAGATATTTTTTTGAAGTTCAGCAATAATTAACAGAAAAAGACCAGTGTCCTGACTAGATCATTTCTCAAGCTAGTTCATTACATTACAGGTTCATTACACTGTTAGGACTTGTTATGTTTATAACGGCCTTTTTATGCAGTTTAGTGAGCACATTGTTTATTGATAATTCATTCCATTTTACCAGGAGCATACCAGGTTTTCTTTTCCGTCTCATTTTTCTACCCTCTGTATTTGTCGTTCTGTCTCCCCCTGCTGTCTCCTTTCTTGCTTGCTGTCTTTCAAATACCTGATAAATGTTATTGGAATGACATTTAGGTACTGGTAAAGTACCTGAACAATATTTCTCCCTCTCCCTTTCTCTCCGTGTGAACTTCTCTCTCTCTCAGACGGTGCTGCTGTCTGAGACGAAGGAGAGCATTCTGGGAGGGGTCCTCAGGGTGCTGCTTCATAGCATGGCCTGTAACCAGAGCGCCCTCTTCCTGCAGCACTGCTTCGCCACGCAGCGCGCACTGGTCTTTAAGGTATGCCTTTCTATCACTTATCTGGAGAACAGGACTCTGCTGTCAACCGTGCCCAAACCAGCTTGCTGGTCTTAACTTATTTTTTGTGTTAAAACGGGGACCCACTGTGTTAAGGTGTGAATTGCAATGCCCATCATGGAGCGTCAATCCTAGATTGAGTGTGACGGGGGACAGGAATGTGGGTGGGGGTACGTCATGTCACGGGGATGTCAGCCTTTCTCTCTCTCCTGCAGTTCCCTGAGATGCTGTTTGAGGAGGACACGGAGCTGTGTGCGGACCTCTGCCTGCGCCTCCTGCGCCACTGCAGCAGCAGCGTGGGCACCGTCCGCAGCCACGCCAGCGCCTCGCTTTATCTGCTCATGAGACAGAACTTCGAGATCGGCAACGTGAGTCGCGGACGCACTAGAGCCACGGACAGCAGCTACAGTTACATTCTCGTAGTATTTTAATATAGTGTCTGACATACCTGTATGTCCACAGAGGAAGGCTTGTAGTTTGACTTTGTATTGCACAGTGGTCTAGTATTGGAGAGACATCTTGAAGTGAAGACCTCCTACTAAAAAAAATGTTCATTTCTCATGACACAGGACTTCAGGGTCCACATTGAAAGCCTGTTGTGCCTCTATTCCATGCTAATTTACTAACATACCAAGTGGTGAAAAAGAGGCATTTGTATCCCATTGTATGTTGCCTGCATACAGCACTGTGTGGAGAATGTAATGCAGATGGCTATAAAGGTCAGATGGCACTAGCGCTGTAGGGAACAGGCCAAGCCCCTGTATTAACCTGGGGTTCTTTCTGTCTTTGTGCTGTCTAGAACTTTGCCCGTGTGAAGATGCAGGTGACTATGTCGTTGTCCTCCCTGGTGGGAATGTCTCAGAACTTCAATGAGGAGCACCTGCGCCGCTCTCTGAAGACCATCCTGACCTATGCCGAGGAGGACCTAGAGCTGCGGGACACTCCCTTCCCTGAGCAGGTATTCCACCAGGGCCTGTCTAGATCTAGTCTAGGATTTCCCCACTTCAGGCCTTTGTTATTGGATTCAGTCCAGCAGCCATGATGTCAGTAGATCTGTGCTGCCTTGAAGTGGCCAAAAATGACAGTTCAGAGGTGTGCTCCTATACTTTCTCGTACAAGAGACAACTCAGAGCTTGATGTTCTTTAAAAGCACTTATCGTTTTAGGCGCTTGTACAGCGCCCCTGGAGCAGTTGGGTTAAGCGCCTTGCTCAGGAGCCCAACGGAGTAGGATTCCTCTGCCAGCTGCAGGATTTGAACCAGCAACCTTCCAGCCACAGGCGCAGATCCTTAGCCACAGAGCCACCGATCCGTCCCATTTTACTAAAATAAGAATTAACTTGCTAAACCTTCGTACTGTGTGTGCATATAAGCACATTCTATGAGCAGATGAGGACCAAGAGGAGATATTTGAAACTGGTTTAGGAGCCTTTAGACTTCTGGCTGGGCTTTGAAACTTTACTGAAGTTTGGACTGAAGCCAGTCCTATCCTTTTTGTGAGAGCTGTCTGTCCCTGCTGTAGGTCCAGGACTTGGTATTCAATCTGCACATGATCCTCACTGACACGGTCAAGATGAAGGAGCACCAAGAAGATCCCGAGATGCTCATTGACCTCATGTACAGGTGAGCAAATTTCTGTCCTCTGCTTTTCCTTATTGCCTAGTGCGTGCCCTCCCTTGGAACACTATAAACTTGACACAGCAGCTAACTATATGCAAAGGATATGTCACAGGGCAAATACAATACCCTTTATCACTCATTGTAAGCAATCTTAAGCAGCCAATTTCACCCTGCAACTCGTAACTGGCAACCCACTGAAGCCAAGCAGGTGTGAGCCTGGCCAGTACCTGGATGGGAGACCTCCTGGGAAAAACGAAGGTTGCTGCTGGAAGAGGTGTTAGTGGGGCCAGCTGGGGACACTCACCCTGCAGTCCATGTGGGTCCTAATGCCCCAGTATAGTGACGGGGAGACTATACTGTAAACAAGCGCCATCCTTCGGATGAGACACAAAACCGAGGTCCTGACTCTCGGGGGCAATAAAAAACCCAAGGCAATTCCCCAAAAAAAGAAGGGGGGAAACCCGGCGTCCTGGCCAAATTTCCCATTGGTCCTTACCAATCATGGCCTCCTAATAATCCCCCTCT